ATATATATATATATATATATATATATATATATATATATATATATATGATATTAACTGCTGCTCATAACAAAATAAGATGTTGTTTATGAACTTTTTGGGTTGTGGGAAAGGTCAACAGTCATGGCAGTTCTCCTCCTACAGCAATCATCCTCCCAGAGGGCTCAGACATCTGAAGAGGTTGTATATCAGGCAGCATAACATTCAGGGGAGGGAGCGAGTCAGATGGTACAAGGTGATGTAGCGTCTGATGTCTTCCATCTCCATAATCATTTAGGACTTTATAAATTTTAATAAACATGAGATTTCCCTGGTATATTTGAATTACTTTTATGGAAACATGAGGTTTCTGAGGTCTGTGACCTGCGTGGTCCAGGGACAAATTAATACACACGGAGACAGAGAAACAGGGAACCAGAGAGAAGTGTGGAGAATAGGGTTTGAGGATTCACAGAGAGGCTCTGAGTTAATCTCGGATGTAAGGAAAGACCAAGATTGATCGGAGTTTTGATGGCCAGTGGGGTCTGGATGATATTTGTATTATACAGATGTGTATATAGGCTAAAATGAAATAAACCAATAATTTGACAGTGGTTTACTCCAATTAATGAGATTAGACTAAAATTATAATCAGAAAATTATTTCTTTTGATTATTCATTTAAATGAAGAATAAGGCATATCCTGTAATGACTTTAAGATTGGGAAGTTTATATTAAATGCAACAGGCTGGACAATATTAGAGGTAAAAAAGCCTATAGGTCAGAACCTTATTCATTCTAAGCCATACTCTTCATCATGGGTTAAATGTCTCTATTTTCAATTCAATTTCTCTCTAATTGAAGTGGCATAAAGATGGCAAACTTTCTCATTGAAATTGTAATGAAGAATTTCTAATCAAGCACTTTCACAATGTCAATTGCATTCTCAATATTAATAATATAAATGCCCTCATGAAAAAACAATTGTTACTTTACAATTGATAGTTAGATTTCTAATAATCACTATGTATGAATAAATCATTGAAAA